CAAGCGCAGTCAAGGTTTGTACGAAAGGCATTGCCCAGACTGTGCAGAGGCTCATGGCCATAAGCGGAAGTGCCGGCGCTTGTCTCCTGAGGATGTGGGACGTGGGGTTCTATCAATGGATCTTTCTGGTCCTCATCCAGCTGCGTTCTCTGGACACAGGTACTTTCTGGTAGCTAACTTGAGCATGCCTGAGGGAGATGACATTCCTTTCTCACGTCTGTTGAAGACCACAACTACTGAGGAGGTAGCACGGGCTTTAACTTCCGTGATGTGTCAGATTGTGTCTCTTGCACAAGGCGCGCCGCCAGTTTTTCGTGTCCATTCAGATGCTGGAAAAGAATTTATTGGGGGTGCGTTTCAGCGAGAAGTTGAACCCTGTTGTGTGTGGCCTACAACAAGCGCGCCCTACACACCGCAACAAAACGGAAAAGCCGAAAGATTGGTTGGTATGATCAAGGCCGCGGCGGGAGCATTGCTTCTTCATGCTCAGTTACCTTTGCAACTCTGGAGCGAAGCCATTCTGGAAGCCACTTTCTTGAGAAGATGCCGCGCTTTGAAGCTGTTGATTCCGAAGGATCGTCCAAGGATGGGCGACACTGTACTTGTCAGGAAGCCACCTCTTCCCGCTGAACATGCTTTCGCTCCCAGAGCTGAAGAGGGCATCTTCTTGGGCAACGACGAGAGGACGCCTGGTGGGGCTAGGGTCATGGTTCTCAGGAATGGTGCTTCATCCGTGAGGGTAACTAGACTACCGTCTTGAAGGACATACAGGTTCCAAGATGGAAGTTGGAGCAGGGTCCCAACGGCGAAGTGGTTTGGTTGAGTACTCATGGCAATATTATGTGGAATGCTCCGCCTGAAGACCTGATTACGGTTGAGGAAGCGGTGGGACAGGTGCAGCCATGGAACACTGACAATGCAGCATCCGACATCATACGAGCGCGCTTTAAGGATCACACGCAGCCCGAACTCTTGTTCAGTTTGTTTGGTCATGGCTTTCTTGTGGATTCACCGGAGTTGGCGTTAGCACCTGAGGCAGCGGCGGCAGTTGCAGAAGCTGACAACAAACATGATTTTCTTGAGGGGAAACAGTGTTGGATTTGCAAGCGTTCTGCCAAGGAGTGTTATCAAGCTAAAAAGAGTTCCGCATCACATGAACCGAAAGGCTACCAGATTGACTCGGCGGACACCGAGACCACTGCAGATGAGCTTAGCAACCTTATGGCAGAGCTTGCTTCAATGAAAGCCTCAGCTGAAACCGTTGACTGCAGAGTGTTCGTTGAGGGGACAGAGGAGGCCAGAAGGAAGTGGTTCAATGGAGCCAAGGCAGAGATGGAGGGCATGCATGAGAAGGGCGTCCTTGATGAGTTGAAGCGTGATTCCTTGAGAACAGAGTTGGGCCTTGGTCCGGATGAACGTATTCCGCGTATCTTGCCCACAAAGCTGGTGGTGTCACGAAAGCCGGAGGATGGTGCGCCTGAATCATCTCAACAGGCTAGCAAAGTCGAGGATCCACCATGGAAGGCCAAGTGCAGACTGTGCGCGGGTGGAAACTTTGAGCCAGAGGACGGAGCTGAGGTTTCAACTCAGAACGTATGCCCAATGGCTTTGAGAATCATGGGTTATCAGTTGAGCTCCCATGCCTCATGGATTGGGGCTAGTGGGGATGTGTCCCTGGCATTCCTCAACTCTAGCATGGATCCTTCCGAGATAGCTCTTCTTGACCCGCCCGCAATTTTAAAACGTTTGGGACTTGTCGAAGCTGGAACCATTTGGCGTGCCCGCAAGCACATATATGGACTGAGGCGAAGCCCAAAGGCATGGGGTAACCTACGGGATACCACGATCGATAAGCAGGTGCTTGATACATCTTCTGGAAAAGTGGACGTAAAACTTGTACCTGAAGAAGAAGGTCTGCTTGTGCTAGTGAGCAGAGCCAGTCAGAAAATCATTGGTATCGCAGCGACATATGAGCTATAATGTAAACTCCTAGTATCCCCCTTAGTAACCCCTATAGTAGTCCCATATAGAATCCCCTATATAACCCCCGTTAAGGGGTTTAGACTATAGCTCATATGTGGACGACATTTTTGCAGTGGGAGAGCCTTCCGTGGTTGCAGCATTTATGTCACTCATTCAGAAAACGTGGACCACGAAGTTTTCTGGTTTCATTACTCGCGGCAAAGAACAAACAATTTACCATGGAGACTTCAAAATGTCACGGGTTTCAGAGCTGACATTCATTGGTTTGCAGATCAAGTTTGATGATCGGCAGAATGTGGTTTTCCATCAGCGCAGGTGGATCTTGAGTGAGCTACACAAACGTGGATGGACACATTTGCGTGGAACGCCTAGTCTGCCACAGATTGAGTTGGATGTTCAGGAGCCCACGGAGGGTTCAGAGTACAAGACCAACTTGAAAGGCGCGCAAACGGAACTTGGTTGTCTTCTTTGGATCAGCACTAAGACGCGTCCCGATCTTTTATCAACTGTGAGCATCGCTGCTTCGCGACAGGTTTTGAAAGTGGCACGAGGATGCTGGCGATACTTGAGAGCGACACTTAATGTTGGACTTCGCTTTACTGGGAAACCCAGCTGTGATACACTCAAGGTATGGTCAGACGCTTCTTTCAGTCCTGAGGGCAGTAGATCACGAAGTGGAGGAGTCATCACACTTGGTGACTGTGCGTTAGGATGGTGGTCTACAAAGCAGACAGTGACAGCGTGGTCGGTTTGTGAAGCCGAGACAGATGCCATGGCCTTGGCAGTGAGTGAGGTCACGAAGCTGTTGCCTTTGTTGGAGTGCTTGACAGGTCAGAGGTTTTCCCTTCGCGTGGAGTTGTATGGGGATAACTCTGCAAGCATTACAGTTATTAATCGTGAGACTTTCTTTGTCAAGAGCTGGCGGACCAGGGCTTTTGCACTTAGGGCGTCATGGCTGAGAGATCAGGTTCGTGAATCCGGACTCACTCTGACTCATCATCCAGGAGCTGAGTTGATCGCAGATCTTCTGACTAAGACTCTTCCCAAAGGACGCTTGGCTGAGCTGCGGTACAAGATAGGATTAACTTGACCCGAAGTCGAGAGTGTGAACACGTAAGCACGACGTACGAATTGTTGGAGCCATCTATGAGGTTCTGAGATCCCATAGCATGTGCTGTAGTAGTTTAACGAGGTTCTGCCGAAGGTATAGTCCAGCAGGATCTATTAGTGTTTGAAGTAAGCGCTTGATGTTCCCCATGCCGCCGTAGGTGTGTCCACTGGGACCAAAAAATCTAGAAGCCTCGAAAGAAGAAATGATGATCACCGGCAACGGGGCTGTCGGGCAAGAGTCCACCAGGTGGATCGCACACGCTGTTTTGGTAATGGCGGCAAAGAGTAGCTAGCTAGGGGGGGGCATCAAGCATGTATAGACATGTGCAGGAACATTCGAAAAAACATGCTTTCTCTTCGTGTCGAGACACATGAGGAGGAGTGTGATTGTTGCCTGCACAAATCAGAGAAGTGTACCAAGTTGCATGACCCCTGCACAAGGGATGACACGCAAGGTCATTGAAGCATGGCCCCTGCGCATGAATGACTATGGCTCAAGTCTGTGAAGAAACTGCACGGTGTGGCACCTGCAGGGTTTTGGGTTTGACTTCCTTACCCCACCCCTAATCTTCTGCGTAGCTTCAGGGTGAGGTGAAGGGCAGGGTTCAGGCCAGGAGGCGAGGTACTCTTTGGGTGATGTTGACTTCGGAGCTTGATGTGACGTCTTCGTAGGAATGCCAACCTCTAATTATGATCCTCTAGATGATGTACCTCTTAGTATTGGACAGTCTATGGCTGCTCAACCTAGTCCGTCCTATAGCGTAATCACGGATAGTATGACCCCCGAAGGGCCCCAGCAATCGCAAAATCGATTCCAAGCCCCTGAAGGGCCGTATGTCCAAGCACAAGCAGGGACCTAAACTAGAATTGTAAATAAATGTTTTTGTGGTGCATCTTCCGAGGCCAACTTGAAATCTAACTTAATTGAGTCTTCCACATGCTCCTCATTGCTACTACAAGTAGTGGAAACCATTTCTTGTTTCTCTGTTGCGGAGCTGCTTCCTGGTTCTTTGTGCGCAGACTACGGACCGCTGCCCCAAGGTTCTTGGTTCCTCGGAGCTTATCGAAGGGAACTCTCCCAGAAGTCATTCTTTTTACCTGGCATTGTTTTTAGGTTTGAAAGCGACCAAACCTGCAGGTCATTTCTCGTTACTCGGGATTTCATAAAACCCTTGCAAAGGAACTCTCCCAGAGCAGAATTTCTTTTTACCTGGCGCTGTTCATGGGCCTTTAAGTTTGCGAGGGACCCGACCTGCACGACGTGTGTGTAATTTTCGTGTTACAACCCCCCTATACTTTTTTAACCACGCTGACCAAGCTTGATTTCCAAATCAGGAGGTTTGCTCTCGTCCTCCTCACTATATAAACAGACAACAGAAATGCACGCAATAATACTCCATTTTGCATACTCTACACATACTGTACACATACCCTAAACCGAATACCTAGGAATGACAGCTGTTGAGAAATCTTTCTTGTGAAAGAATAGAAAGTGAGAAATCAGCAATACAGGCTTAAATTTGGTTCCAGGACTTATGGGACAAACCCTTGCGTTAGGAGAACTTGAAATCGATTGTAAGTATTTACCATGGACTATGAGCCTAAATCAGGTTCTAAGATCTGGGGGAAGAAGCACTTAACATCGATTTCAAGTGACCAAATATCCGAGTCCTAAATTGCTGAAAGCATGACTCAACATCGATTTTAACTGAACCTTGAAATCAAAATCCTTTTTTTCAGGTGACCCCATGGGCATGGGGTGGTAAATGATAGATGGCCAACGGGGAGGTTGATTGAGGTTGATGAACTGAAAATCATCGTGTTTTTTGGCGAGAGATCACCAATTACAAGTGTGAAAGCAAGGTAGCCGGATGGTTTAGCTGAGCTTTCATGTCTGGGTGCACTGCCAAGGACTGTCGCCTTCTTGCCCCATTCCGTAAATCGGCAGGCCCAGGGCCTTGGCAACATGAAAAGACCTCCTCTTATAAGGAGCAACCGGGTAAAGCTGCAAGAAGCCTGAACCAGTGCTTTCCGTTTTTTTGTTCGCATCCCATTGACTTGCGTAGGCTTGCTTTTCCTCCTCCATCCTCGTGGTCTTTCTGTCTTCACGGCATGGTCCCACCATGCCGCAGTTGCTGATGGGCCCGGCATAGTAGGTGCTGAGACGCCTCACAGCTTGCAGCTTGTGGGGCATGTGATGCGTGGCATCAGATTCGCCTCCTGCAAATGGCACGCTTTCGCATCCTTCTTGGTCCCTTCCAAAAGATGCGATGCATAGAATACACCGCAAACACGCCTTGCGGCCTGTGGTCCAACGTGCCTGTGTGCCTGTGTGCCTTCCTGAGCCGCCTGGGCCTTGACACGGCCTTCTACCACAGCGACCGGAGCTCTGCAACATTCACGCAAATTACGCGTACATCCGTGCACATCGCAATGCACCGTGCAGATCCATTCGCCGTGTGCATCGGCACATCGGGCTACGGGCACAGCTCCACGCAGGGCCACGAGCGGCTGCGCTGGCCTTCTGCACTCCTTTGCTGCAAAAAGCCTTAAAACAACAGTCTTGTCTACTTGGAATTTGAGCCAGCTGGCAGCAGCTTTCATCCGCTGCTCTGCTTGCCTGTGTCTGAGGTCCTTGCAGGGTCTCGAAGCCACAGAAGACCATGTCCTTGGCCTTGAGTTTTACTTCAAGCTCAGAACAATGCAACAAGAATACTCTTTCTGGCCTTGTCCCCAAGCTTCGAAGCGAAGAGGATGTCGCCCCCAGAGCGTGCCTGCAACTTGCATGCAAGCAACCTTCAAGCTGTCGAAGAGTCGCTGAGCTCTGAGGCTCTGAGCTGATTACATTGACATCGCTGAGCGCGGGACAGGCATCGTGGCAACAATCGTGCCGGGTTTCATGTACGGAGCAAACTTCTCCTTGGCTCGAATCCCACGCGTTGAATCATATTGAATCCTGGTGTGGAATCGAAGGCCAGGGGGCAAAGTATTCGCCATGGGCAAAGGACGGCACTACCAGAAGGATCAAGTTGGCATCCTCATACACCACTTTCTCGGAATCGCCACAACACATGCAGATGCTCTTGCCTGCCTGCCTGCCTGCCTGCCTGCCTGCCTGTGCCTGCCTGCCTGCCTGTGTCTGCCTGCCTGCCTGCCTGCCTGCCTGCCTTCTCGCTTCATTGCTGTTCGTTTGGGACGTGAATGCTTGATGAAATTTGGTAAGCAGACATATCAGTCAAATGCAGAACAGGTACCTCTTTTTGCGCAAGCAGTCTAATGTATTGGTTCTTGCATATCTCTAGAGTGCTGCTGACATGTTTTGGGCGGAGATGTTTAGGGAACTTTTCCTTTTTTTTTGCGGAGGGGGGGGGGG